GCGCGAGAGTATATCTGCAGGAAGCACGCATAACGCAATGATGTAGGCCAAGCGCTTAGTAGTATTGACTCCCAACCCGGTTATGGATGATGGCATGCTTTTTGCGGATAACGGGAATAATGAAGTGCGGCCGGCGTCCGATTGATTAGCATATCCGCTTGGTGCTTGCACAAAAGCGAAGGGAAGCGCTTACAGACTGTGTATATATTCAGTAACAACAGGTAGGCGAACCTGAAGTGTAGGTGGATGCTTCTGGCCTAGAGATATTAGTTGGGGGTACGCACAAAGAATCGTTTATATTCTTTCGATATCAGTCGAGCTTTTGGCACCTGGGGGGAATGTGATACAGCGCGTCTCAGTTCACTTCCGACACATATATTGAATGCGACAAATTATCGTCTGTCTTCCAATAAGTAGCGTTTCTTTATGGACAATCTGCGGAGTCAGCTGCACGGCATTGCAGCAATTATTTGGATTAGGCTAGGCCTGCTTTTCCATGTTGGGACCATCCCCCTCTGCCGGCACGAGTAACGGAACAAGTAACGGATATGGCGGAGTTGCAGGGGTCTTGGGCGTATGAGCGCCCTAGTTGCACCAAAGTTGTGTTCGCCAGTCCACGGTATGGCCAACAGTTTTGTGGCGCTAGGAGCGTTCGCTTCTTTTGCTAGAGAGTGTGCAGATAATTAGCTGCCAGCCCTACGAAAAAGCACAAGAGAGGCAGGATCGAACCCTTCGTATTTAGCAAGTCTAAAATACGAAACAGCGCACTTGGCATACTGCCAAGCTTGTGGTTCCTGTAGCTTGTGGTTCCTGTTACGGTTCAGATTGTATGAGGGCAGGCGTGGATACATGAGTGGATTTGTGTATATTTGTGGGTTTGCACTGTGAGGAGCGGTACGAGATGTTTGTGCTCCAAGTGTGCTCGTGCGAAGGCAGGGGGTCTCGATATTAAATTCCAATACTGAGGAGCTCGGCGAATTATGCAAGGCTCCGTTCTGTCCGAAATCAGCGCAACTCGTAGATATTTCTCTCCTCCTCCTACAACCTCGATTTCTTATGGCATATACCCGTCGTATCCCAACTGAAGAAACTGCATGTTTCTTCAGATGCAGATAGTGCAAATACTGTTCAATCATTGTCTAGCGTATCAATTTGTCTGCGCGCATCGACGAGCCTGGCCTTGTGACGACTTCTCTGGCGTTGCAAGTCAAGCATTGGCTTCTCCAGAGAGTATGCACATAATATGTTGCTAGTGCTGTTGAGATGCCAGTGGTGTACAACCTCGAACAGCTTATAACATCTGAAGCAAAGTCACATTTTTGGCGTGGGTGTGGCTGCTGTTTGAGGCCATGTACTGGCATTATGTGTAGGAGGGACGTGCAGAAATGCACTTGTTACCTTGTTAAAAGTAAAACTTTCTTTGGCTTCAGTGGTTTCCTCTTTCTCTACACAGTGTGGACGGATATTTCCTGCGTGTACGAGACAGACGTCAACAAATCGTATGAGTGTGTCGCTAAGACAGTGTATGTAAGGTATGTAAAGAGCAATGCGTGTGAGGAGGCAACCTCAACTACGCTGGGAGTTGTATCAAACACTTCGTGGCACTGCCTGTAGGCCTGGATATGTACGAGTGCAGCCGTATGTAGGGCGGGAATACCAAAGGCAGCTGGAACCAGCTGACAGAGGGATTCAGGCGAGTTCGGTACGTCTGCATGCCACTGTCGGCGAAAGACGCAACCCATCGCCCACAATCTTACTTGCTGGTAACACCAACGAAATCAGAACACGTCCTGCAAGCACATGTTTCGGGGTTTTCGAGGTATATTAACCGTCGGTTCAGCTTATGATTGTATCAGTTGCTTCTTTCCGAGCTCGGCATCTCACACTAGCGTTTGTAGGATTCCAATATGGCTGAGAGAAGCGATTGGGAAACAGGGTATCGATCGGTACTCATTTGAAGTTTCCAGCACCTAGAATATTTCAAATTTTTACTATCTTTCCAGTACAAAACACGTACACTCGACAAGGAAGCTCGTATAACCAGTTACACCCTCGTGCACTAAGGACTAAGCTTGAAACTGGTTCGCTTGCCGTGGTTGTAATTATGGACGTCCTCACACCTAAATATGTGCACTACCTGCATCTAGTTAATCTGCGTGTGCAACAACTGCATGACTTAACAACTTCTGTGCTCGCGTCGGAGCGCCTGGCCTTGGGAAGCCTTCTTTGGCTGTACGCATCACTCATTGGTCTATCTAGGAAGTATGCAAACAATTTGATGCTAGTGTTTTTGAGGTGCAAGTGGTTCAGAAGTGAGAATGCTTTGTAACATATCTGAAGGATTGTCGTATTTTTGGCGTGGGTGTGGCTGCTGTTACAGTTCAGGCCATCTGTCGCAGACCCGAATGTGCATATTGGTGTCTGCGACGCGAATGTTGACAATTAGGTATACAGAGGTGTGTAGCTACAGCGCCAGGAGAAGTGGATGCTCGCAGTGCTTTGTGGTTGCCAGTGTCTGGCATATTATGGAATTAGAAAGCACATGATTGTAGCTCTACGGAACCGTGTGGCGTTACAAACGTTCTCAGTGGAGTGATAAGCAGATACTAAGCGGTAATCTGTGTTAAGCTCAAACCGGCTTTCGCCTTGTTATGCATGATGGCAACATTTTTGTGTTTGACGGAAATATCGAAGGCTGGGCCGCGGTCCACTGGGAGACCACACGAATTGTTAGTCCGCGTGGCTCTTACACAAGATGACGTAGGACCTGTAGCGCAGTAAGCAACTACTGGTTAACACAAGGCATATGAATTTGTAATGAAGGCGGGTGTTCCAGGCGTTGTTGGACTGCCTGCGCTTTTTTCGTTGGGCGCTCGTATAGCGTAGAAGCGTGTGGCCGAAGTTCGTTCGAGCGTACCATCATGCGACACTGTCAGCATCGGACTGGAACTCCAAACACCAAACAACAAGACACCTGCCTAATTAGCTGCCAGCATTTTGAAGAATATGACTGTTGTTAGTCTCCCAACGAGGAGCGACCCGGAAAGGGCGCCGCACGGTGCCATGCGCATTGGTCTCCAAGAATTACAGCACATAGACTTGGTTCGTTTTCCTTCGGCGAGCTGATCTCGTTTTGCTGACAGCAGTACACACAGTGTTTGCTGGGATGCAAGAGGACCAGAATCTGTGATGATTATGGTGTTATGTAGTTTGGTTCCGCCCGCCTTCGGTTGAAGTATAACGAAGCGTTTTCTAGCACTACTAGTGCTTGCTGTTTCCGCCAGAAAGTAAGCACCCAATTGACTGAGAGGGTATTTGGGATGCGACGGCTTTTTTAGTAGGCCGCGCATCGTGATGCTAGACTATAGAATATACCCGCCTGGTGATGCTTCATTTTACATTTCAGATTGTATGCCAACGCCCATGGATGTGTTCGTGAGTTCATGGAGGCTTCTGTTGTTACAGCATCTGGCGATGGAGGAGCATTTTCTGCCTCCACCATGTCCACCTTCAGGCATTCACGGCCTGGCATCCCTCCAGTAGTAACCAACGTCCAGTGTATCTGTCTGAAGGTTCAGCCAGAGGTCGTAGTGCGCAGGATACAGGCGCCTGAGGAAGACGGGGAACGGTCACCAGCGGGCTCGCCACAGCAGTACCTATCTACATTTACGAGCCTTCGAGCGAAATGTCATCACGGAGCATACACGCTTAGTGCTCCGTTGGGGCAGAAACATGGTCAAGTGCTTCCCAACAACTTCAACAACGGAAATAAGCTCTTGTAACTTTTGTACCGTGGACGACGCCGTCCGCCGCACCGTAGTCTGGCCGTCTTTCTTTTCCTACTATGTGCTGACTTACACGCGGCACCACGTGAAGTCCCTAGGTTCGTCAGTTGAATTGTAGGCAGACGTCGACTTCGGCGCAAAACATTGAGGTTGACAAGGGATTTGCAACACTGACCACTCGCTTGCAAAAGACACGTTCATTTTTGTCGCCTCACATCGATAATACATTATGTATTGGGAAGACAGCATGGAAGCAATGTAACCTGACACCACGACAGAGTTGCGGAAGAAATTTTCCCGTTACACCTCGGGCTACTGTTTTCAGAACGTACGGATGCTATGTCGGAGCGAGGTGATTTGGGAAGTAATGAGAAACCTATTGGGCAGAATTTGGTGCAGTGACCGAAGATGATCAACTATCTTCTTGCAGCTGGAACTATCCCACCCAAGTTGCATACCCTGATGTGCGTGACACTGGGACTTATGTTTCTGTTCATGGGTCTATAGGTTATGGCAAAACTTGTTCCGTCAAGTAGGGCGGGGAGCAGACCCTCGCGGTCTGTCAGCTTACCTGTACAATCCGCAAGCGGTGCACCCTGCGAGCTCACGACTTTCAACACCTGCACATCCGCATGATTGAGCATGCACACATATGGAGTTTCTGGATGAGGAACCATATTGTATATGTTCGCTTTTTAAGGTGGCCACAGCATGATAAATACAAATCCTGAAAGTTGGCGCGCATCCATGTTGGGTTGGCACAGTTGCAGTAGGCTCCATGCAGCTTTCCTACATGTTAGTCTCCATGTAGCTTTCCCACATGTCGTCAAGATCATAAGCATGTCAACTAACGATTTGCATTCGTTACCACAAACAATTCGTTGAAACGCGACTATGGTACCCGGGTTCTACAGCAACAAGTCTTGGCTCTTGTCGGCTGACCGTGTTGCGCTGTCTCATGGCTTCATTGTCAATATTGGCCTTCACTTTTACCTCCGTGACTTACAGCTTAGATTTGAGCTGTCTTCGTAGTTTAGATCCTATTTCACCCCCTGTCACAAGTGGATATGTGAAATATTTGGAAGCATAGCAGCAGTGGCATGTACTGTGTATGGTGTGTGGCACCTCGTGTTGTCATCGAACAGAAAATCACCTGGGTTGTATGGTGCTCCCTACCAATGGAAATCGCCTGCACAGCGAATTCGCATTTTGGAGATGACTGGCGTTACACTGGTTGACTATGAGAATACTAGAAAGGGAGCCAATACCTGCAATACTTGCAGAGAGCAACAAGGAGCGTTCACGGAGCGTTTCATGAGGTACTGCACGCACTGCCTTCCAGAAGGTGCACCGTTGACGGATATTGGAGGGGAGGAACCGGGTTTACCAAGCTATGAATTGGAGCGAATGCGAATTAGTGCAGACGGTGAGCACTGAGAACATGAAGAGCAATGACAAAAAGGGATGTAATCGATCTGGTTGGATTTCAGAAAGGTTGCGTGTGGTATTTCATCGAGTTTCACCGTGCAGGGGCAGCACTGGTTTCGCGCTATGCGCATTGTAACATTTGTCGGTGTTGTTTGCTGTTGGATGCATGCGACGGTTGTGAAAGGACTATGCGGTAGGGTCTGTGGAGTAGAAGAGAGACAAGCATGCCGAGCATAAGCACCCTGTGCACACACACAACTCATTGCTTTACAAATATGAGTTACGCCGCATCTTTGGCTCACATTGGCATGTGTTAGGTGACGTGGGGGTGGCGAGATATGTGGTGCGCAGGCACCATGTGCAGCGGTTGCTGGACATTGGAGGGGAGGGCGGCGAATCGGCGTGGATGTGAGCCCTATTAAATGGCACACCTTGCAGAAAGTGAGCATTAGGAACATTAGTGTGAAATGCCAAAGGGGGAAGCAATCGATGAGGTTGTGTTGGAGAGCGTTTGCGCGTGTTTCATCGGCCCACCTCACAGGTTGAAGGGGCGTTATTAGTTTTGCTGTTTGCATTGTGGCATTTGTGGGTGCTGTTTGCTGTCGGATGGTTGCGCTGTTGTGGACAAAGTAGGCGGTAGGGTTTGTGGATCAGATGAAAGTCAAGGAGGGCATGCATAGCAAAAACGTGACCAAACGCATCTTATTACTTGTTTAGTATGAGGCAGTACGCACCTTTTGTTCGGGTTTGCACGTGGTGTGTTATGTGGCGGTGGCGAGATATGTGGTGAGCGTAGACACAATATGCGGCGGTTGCTGGACATTGGAGGGGAGGGGGCGAATCGGCGTGGATGAGAGCCCTATTAAACGGCACACCTTGCAGGACGTGAGCACTGGGAACATTAGTGTGAAATACCAAAGGGGGAAGCAATCGATGAGGTTGTATTGCAAAGAGTTTGCGCGTGTTTCATCGGCGCATCTCACAGGTTGAAGGGGCGTTATTAGTTTTGCTGTTTGCATTGTAGCATTTGTGGGTGCTGTTTGCTGTCGGATGGTTGCGCTGTTGTGGACAAAGTAGGCGGTAGGGTTTGTGGATCAGCGGAAAGTCAAGGAGGCTGAAAATAGCCATCACTAGCCCAAAAGCAAATGAGTACTTCGTTGGCATCCGGCAGTGCGCACCTTTTGTTCGGGTTTGCACGTGGTGTGTTATGTGGCGGTGGCGAGATATGTGGTGAGCGTAGACACAATATGCGGCGGTTGCTGGTTATTGTAGAAGATGAACGAATTTGCGTGGGTCTGAGTTGGAAAACGCACGACTCCGTGCAGGAAGTGAGCATTAAGAACATTTATGTGGGATACAGAGGCGGCACGCACTTTGTTTGCCAGGATTAGAGAAAGTTTGCATGTGATGCTTCGCCGCACCTAGGCGTCAAGAGGCGGCATTTTTTTCGTGCTGTGTGTATTGGAGCATTTGTGGGTGGTGTTATATCGGATGGATGCGCAGTTGTCGATGGAGTAGGCGGTAATGCTTGTGGGGTATGTGAAATGCTGTGAGGCCAACCAAAGCCTTGACATGCCCAAACGCAGCTCATTAGCTACTAAGTGTCAGCCAGACCACATCTTTGCCTTCCGTTGACATGTGTTTGGTGATTTGTGTGTGGCGGGATATGTGAAATGCGTGGAGGCTCTAGGCGGCGGTTGACGGGTATTGGAGAGGGGGGGCAGGGGTGAAATTGGCGTTGGTGTGAGTTGGAGAAAACGCGACGCCATCAGGATGTGAACATTAGGAACATTAATGTGAAATGCCAAAGGGGGAAGCAAGGGATGTGGTTGGTTTGCAGAAATGTTGCGTGTGGTGTTTTACCGCGTCTCATCGTTAAGGGACGGCATTGGTTTTGCGCTTTGCATTGTAGCGTTGTGCGTCTTTTTTTCCGTCGGGTGGTTGTGACAGTTGTGGAAGGAGTAGGCGATATTGTTTGTCGAGTAGATGAAGGAGAAGGAGGCCGTGCATAGCCAGCACGTTCACAATCGCAGCTCATTACTTTGCTAATATCAGGAAGTGTGCATCTTTGGTTCGCATTGGCTAGTGTTAGGTGATGTTGAACTGGCTGGATATGCTGTGAGTGTAAACACTACGAGCAGGCATTGATGGGTATTGTAGGTGAGGAGGCGAACTGGCGTATGTTTGGTTTAGCGCAAACGCGACGTCCTGCAGGATATAAGCATTGGGAACATTATTGTGGAGGGGGAAGCAGGAAAGCAGCTGATTTGGTTGGATTGGAGCGCGTGTGCGTGTGGTGTTTCACTGAGTCCCACCATGAAGGGACGGAATTGGTTGCACGCTTTCCATTGACGCACTTGTGGGTGTTAGTTGCTGTTGCAGGGTTGCCCATTTGCGGAGGGACTAGGCAATACAGTTTGTGGACTAGCTAAATGACAAATAGGCCTTGCATAGCTAATTCCTGCACAAGAAGGACTCAATACTTAGGCGCAGCAGTGGCATTGGCATAGTAATGATCTTCAGGTGCCGCTACGTCTTGCAGGATGTGAGCACTGCAAACATTAGTGTGAAATGACAAAAAAGAAAGCAGGCAATTAGCTTGGTGTTGAGAGCGTTT